AGATACATGTGGTTTGTTGTTGTTTACTATTGTGTGTATGATATACGTGTGTCTGCCTGTTAGATTAAAGCTCTTAATTTTGGTGTTACTGCATACTTCATCCTTTCACAGGGGCACACATGGCTCTTGGGTTGAGATTACTTCTCAACTCTAAGCTTCCAGATGTTAACAGAAGAACAACACAAGGAAGATGAGTTCCCATATTTCCAAATGAAATGAGGCAGAACAAATGAAAGAGGATCTCTTGGCTAGTGCAGGGAACTGCAAGTGTACATTACTAAGAGGTATAGCCTTGTCTGTGCAAACACAGTAACTCATGTCAAATAAATTGTACTTTTTGCAGGAAAGAACTCTAGCTCTGGGTTTTCCAAGCTAAACTGCATGAAAACACCCAATCCATTTTCTTCTTATTTGAACTGTTAGATGACAGGGCCAAATTACCAGAAAGACCAAAGGCAGTTTGCAGCCTTTAACAACTGAAAGGACTTATTGCTTCCAATTTAGGAACACAAAAGATTCTGTGTCTACTCCAAACACTACCAGGTCCTATGCATTTCCTATGAGTTCTGAAGCCAAAATGCCTGTAAATAAAAAAAAAAAAATCAAATTTCTCTAGAATTTCAGAAATGGAGAATATATTGTCCAAAGAGACATAGAAGTTACTTTTGACAGGACTTAAAAAATATGGACAGTACTCTCTCTCTTTGGTCAAATGTGGTCCCATTGTCCTTGGCTTCTCAGTGTCATTTACTCCTATTAGGCTGGGAGGGATTATTTTATGGATCTAGTCAAAAGCCATTAAGTCTGTAAAGGTAGTCAAGTCCTGTTCCCCAGCTCTGCCTTGGAGAACCCAAGGGAGGTAATGCATCTATGGTTCAATACCTGAGGCCATTTTGTTTCCAACTTAAATTGCACTTATGTATTGGTTCAGGGTATAGTATCTCCACTCATCTTGCTCTTGTTTCCACAATTCTACTATTAATACAGAGCTTAGGAAACATAATTGCAGTGTGTGGTACATACTGATTTTCATTAACTACACAGAAGAAAACAGTTTAGGGAGAGGCATTTTCTTCGCATTGATTCGATCAAAATGACTTGGAAGGAAAGGTTGTGCTTATTAAGTCCTTTTCAAAAAGGTAACTGCTAAAATTTAAATTCTTTCTCAATAGCATATTTTAAAAAATTGGTATATAATCTCTTTAGATTTTATCATTTATGAATTTTCGAAGTATGTGTCCTTTATTGGCTTTTTTTTTTTTTAATCGAAGTGGAGAGGAGATTTCTACATGGAAGTAGAAAATGTAATCAACAACACTATCCACATGACATGGAGTTGCCTAGCAATGCTAGGGGAATAAAAAGGGGGAAGCAATAACAAAACAGAATGTAGTGAAATTACAAGAGGGTGCACTGTTGAATTGGCTTGCAATACTTAAAGAGGTCTTTATATGAGAAAGGATATAAGATTTTTCTAGCAGTGGTAAAAGAAATGGCTGATCTTTTTTCAATGTTCTATCTTTCATTTGGAAGTGTTTACCCAATGGGATTCTGCTATTTTGAGTTCATTGCTGGGCAAAATCTAGGACAGAGATATCTAATGATAACGTACAGCCCCAGTGAGCCACTGGTATTTGAGTCCTTTTCAGTGGTACTAATTGAGCAAAAGACACATGAGCATTTCATATTCTGTCATTGTTTTGCAGGCTTCTGCTTATATGGTAGATGTCATTCTCATGGTTGCCCTCTCCCAAACTCCAGTGTCTCCCTTTGAATTTTTAATGCCAACGTAAGGAAGACTGCTGTTGTCTCTGACTCAATCTCTCCCAGCACCAGGCCTATCCATCTAGGTCTCTCCTGGATCCCAGCCTTGGGAGTGCAAGATTGGAAATGTTCCTGCAATCAAGATTCAATTTGTTCTCTCCTTTTCCCATCAAAATGCCAAATCCTTCCTTCAAAAAGTAAACAGTATCGGCCATCCTGGAAATATCTATCATTGCTTTCTCTAAATTTTCGTCTAACAGTACCAGAAACATGACCCATCTTTTACAAAGATGGAAGAAATGGTCAGCAATAAAGAAATCCTAATGATGTATGTATAGGATTATACACTTGAGTGACTAAAACCCTAAATAGATTCATAATGGAAAATGATGAGCCATGTACGTGTACTTCAATCCTTCCTTATGTCAACAAGAAAACTTGTCAATATTTTGATTTGGGAGAAAAGTATATAAATCTGTAAGCAAAGGTGGCTGATGTTGTTAAAGAAATTCACCTGAAGGAGCAATCAGGAGATCTGGTTCCGAAACAGCTATGCCATGAACCAATTGTATCTCTTTTTTTTTTTTTTTTTGAGACAGTGCCTCGCTCTGTTACCCAGGCTGGAGTTCAATGGTGTGGAATTGGCTCACTACAACCTCCGTGTCCCAGGTTCAAGTGATTCTCCTGCCTCAGCCTCCCGAGTAGTTGGGATTACAGGCACCCACCATGACACCTGGCTAATTTTTGTATTTTTAGTAGAGATGGAGTTTCACCATGTTGCCCAGGCTGATCTCATACTCCTGACCTCATGATCCACCTGCCTCAACCTCCTAAAGTGCTGGATTGTGCCCAGCCTAATTATGTCTCTTGACTCTTAAGATTTTTAAAGTATAAAACAGGGCTACTTTATCACTAAGAGCTGTCCAGTTCTTACATTTAGATTCTAGGATTCTAAGCATGCTTTGGTCTGAAGAACAAAATCTCTCAATGGGGCACTTTGTTTCTTCTTCCTCCTCCTAATTCCAATTTGGAATGAATAGGGAATTATGATAGGGTTTTAGGTGTTTCTCTACTTTTGGTGTTTTGAATTTACAGTGCAATCCAACAGTAGCTGAGAACTGTGTAATGATTAGTGCTCTTTCTATACATATAAATAAAATGTTCAATTTTTGGCCTTTTTCTTTATTCACAGAGTTTTACCCACAGATCTTTTTGAGATAATTTTCTCCTTTTGCTTTAGAACACAGCATGCTCTTTCCTTCTTTGCTGGAGGCTGACACTCCTGTTCCTGTCTTCTGAAGAGGTCTATATTTCCAGGTCTACTTCCTTTCCATATTGCCCCTTCCCCTCTAACAATTCTTCCATCTACATGGCTTCATTCTTTCCTAATGTTCCCCAAATCTACTCTTGTACCTCTAATTATCCCAAGTTCCAAATCTACATCTCTTCATTATATACCATAAGCACTTGAAATTTAGCTTGTGAAAACTGTGATCTCAGATTCTTCTCCTTGTTAATACAATTACTTATATTCTGGTTTTATTTCTGTGCCCTCACACCCCCCAATTCTTGAACCAGTTCTTATCTTCTCTCATCTGAATTACCCAAGTCTCTTAGCTTCCTTGTTCTGGTTTCTGCCTATCAACTTTTCTGCCAGATTCATTCTTTAAAGCAGAGCTCCAGCCGTACATCAATATGATCCATCACCACAACCAAAATATCGATATAACTATGAAAAGTACTCTACACTCTTATTCGAGGCCTTTCATGCTACTGATTAAACTGAGTTTTCTAGCTACTGGCTGTTATTTTTGTACATAAATTTTATATTTCAACAAAACCAAATATTTTGCTGGAAATATACTAAGCTTTCTTCATTTACTAATATTTGTTACCTTCAGACCACTAAAACTCCTCTCTCCCCCACATAGTATAGCATCTATTATGCCCATTTGAGTTACATATACATCAATGTTCTTTTCAACCTCTATTGAGTCCACAATACCTTTACTGATAGTCCAAATCTTCCATAGCACCAGAGTCTTGTCTTCAGATATTTATCTTAACTTCATCTGCACTGTATTTATGGGTATATTTATCTTATCTCTATCATTATGTGTAAAGCCCACCTATATGGGCTATTATCTTACCTGTCTCTGAATACTCTGAAAGGCCTACCTTGTTATACAGAATATCACTGCTATATAGTTAATAAATTAAGCTAACTTGAAACTTCAGTTATACTGATGTTTTCTGACTTATTTAAAAATCTGAGATCTAGTGAGCTGACCAAGTCAGTTGACCAACTAAAAAAAAAAAAAAAAAAAAAAAAAAAAATCAATAATCTAACATGTGAACAGATTAAATATTTTCTGAGAAAACAAAGTTCAAAAGCATAGATTGTTTCTGTCAACATTAAAATATAAAAGGGTATATACATTTTGAAGGTTTTAAGTCAAATTATCTCACTTTGACATCCAGAGCAAGCACTTAGTTTACTTAATCTCTTTGAGCCTTAGTTTCTTCGTCTATAAGGTAATAGCATTACCTACTGCAGAGGGCCGTTGTAAAAACTGAGCCAGATAACAATGCATGTCAAATGCTTAGATAAAGCCTGTTTTACAAGTGAGTGCTCAACATGCTGTAGCTAGTATAATCATAATGTCCATGATCACCACTTATCAGCCAAATTCACCAAACTAATAACGTAAACGTGGTCCCACAATTCTTTCATATTCGAGATCCTGCTAGAATATGGTAACCTAATTTGGGATCTGCCACTATAGCCACAGTCAAAAAAACTAAAAGAGGACTCAAAAAACCACCAACGGTGGAGAATAAAGTGCAAAGAATAAAAATCTATGAAAGATTATCAAAACTCAAATCATGCTGCTTAACAAGGGGTTTGATGCAAGAGTCAATATTTGTCCTCAAAAATATTCACAATTCTGCAAATGAAAACAGTGACTATAAGAGTATCAACTTCCATACAAAATGCAATGTTTAAAGTTATATATAGCCAGAAGAAAATGCCTCTGCATTTTATTGGAAGAGACTAGAAAGGCAACTGTGAAGTCGTTTGAAGAAAGGATCACATCTTATATGCCAAGAGTGATTTAACTATGACCGCATTTACACTAGGCGATGAGGGGTGATTTCTAGTCTTTCCCAGATACATAATCACTGGAGAATTTGAAGAGTTGCTATGGCTGCTTCTGAAGGCTGCATGCTCCTACCTGAGCTCTCATCCAGACTCTCCTCAGAGACGTGCTCATTCTGATGGACCCACTCGCCGTTGCATTTGAAGAATATCTGCATGGCTGGCCTTGCTTTGCACCTGAGTGCAATAGGGTTGCTCTTAATAATATAAGCATCATCTGGCTCCTCTATGAAATGAGGCAGTGTCCCGGGGGCAGATGGGATGGATTCAGGAAGGACTTCGCTGTTGTCAGTTCCTGTGAAATCAAAGAGTACATCAGAACACAGCCTATGTTGACAGCACATACATCAGGACACAATGGCAAACCCACATCAGTGTTAAGAATCTGTGATGGAGAACTTTCTACTGTATTAATAAAGCATGCTTGTAGAGCCTATGTAAGTGAATTATCTTCTAGAAGCTGAACTAGGAGGATATGGTGCCTCCAGCTAGGCACGGCTTCAGCGTTATTGGTCAAAGCATAAGAATGAATACATCACTCAAGTTTCCATTTTGAATCTGAGCGTCTTTGCATCTGTGAGGTGAGAGACTCTGGTGAATGGCTACATTAAAGGGTCACTAACAACCCCAACCTTCTTCAATATTTTGAAAAAAAAAAAAAAAAAAAAAAAAAAAAAAAGGTGAGAATAGATGTTGTTCTCCCACGCATGTATGTGAATGATGACAGGGAAGATCATAGAGGATACTCAGCCATAAAATATGGTCAAAAGATTCCAAATGGTCTGCTTTCTTTACCTATGAAACTGTGGAGATTGACTGGTAATCCATCTTGGATCTTGGATAACTCACCAGCTCACTGCCCCTTCAAAGGGGATGTGATTCCATTCTGCTTGCCTTCAGCTCACCCTCTGCCCCCAGCAACCTTCCACCATATATGATGGACTGCACTACCAAGGGTGAGAACTAAAATCACTAATAGCTCTGATCCTATAGCCAGTAGCTATAATTACATTTCAAATGAAAAGAACAAATTGTACTCTCTCCTAATCTCAGGAAACTGAGGAAGCAATATAAGAAGGGAAGAGCAGGAGGCAAAACCGTACCTCCTTGTTTCTTCATGCAGTCAGCAAACACTTAAGTCCCAGTAAACTGCCACAAAATCAAAGGTAGCAGGGTCTGATTGCTGAGCACAGGAAAGAGGACAAGGGGGAGCGGCATCTTGTACCCTCCAAAGGCCATGCGACTGTAAGACCAAAGAAAGCAAACATTTCCAAACCAAGATTAACTCTGCCCTAGAAATGGGTGTTCCCATTGAGACTAAGTCAGTCTTTAGGATGAAGTGGAGGACAACCACCTAGTGAATGACTGGAAGAACATTCTCACTGTGATGGTTAACAAGGCGTGTCAACTTAAACGTATGGAAGCATGCAAAGTACTGTTCCTGGGTGTGTCTGTCAAGGTGTTGTCAAGGGAGAATAACACTTGAGTAGGTGGACTGGGAAAAGCAGACACACCCTCAATCTGGATGGGTACCATGTAATCAGCTGCCAGCGTGGCCAGAATAAAAGCAGGCAGAAAAACACGGAAAGACTAGATTGGTTGAGACTTCTGGCCTACATCTTTCTTTTGTGCTGGATGCTTCCTGCTCTTAAACATTGGACTTCAAGTTCTTCAGTTTTGGGACTTGGACTGGCTTCCTTGCTCCTCTGAGCTTGCAGATGGCCTATTGTGGGACCTCACCTTGTGACTGGGAGTCAATACTCCCTAATAAACTCTCCTTTATATATACATCTATTTTATATTCTTTACATATATATGCATCTGTTCTATATTCTTTATATATGTATCTATATCATATATATATATATATATATATATATATATATATATATATTCTATAGTCTGATGTGTGAGAGCTTATTCTTTAAAGCTCTCTAGAGCACCCTGCCCCTCTACAGCAACCTGACTAATGCACTCACACATCAGATCCAGCTCTCCTGAGAGAGTCTGGGAAAAAGGGTGCATCTTGTGACCTAACCTGGCTTTCTGCATGCCATTCATGCAGCTTTGACCAGAGCCTCCTACTATTCATGCTTAAGTCATCAACAACCCAAATAAGGAAGCACTGTCAATGGTAAACCTAATTCATTAAAAATAGGAGTAATTTTCTGACTTAATTTTCTGCCTAGGCCTTTTAAAGTGTTGAGATTAGTGGCTCACACGTGTAATCTCAACACTTTGAGAGGCGCTAGGCAGGCAGATCACTTGAGGTCAGGAGTATGAGACCAGGCTGGCCAACATGGAAAAAACCCATCTCCACTAAAAATAAAAATACTATGCAGGTGTGGTGGTACACCCCTGTAATCCCAGCTACTCGGGAGGCTGAGGCAGGAGACTTGCTTGAACCTGGGAGGCAGAGGTTGCAGTGAGCCAAGATCATGTCACTGCCCTCCAGCCTGGGTGACAGAGTGAGACTCTGTCTCAATTAAAAAAAAAAAAAAAAAAAAAAAAAAAAAAAAAAAAAGTAATGTTCTATTTAAGAACTCTAGGAGGAATTTTCAAACATAAATAGAGGTACAAAGGCTCAGACTTCAAGAGGAAGAAAATAAAACGAGAGTTAGTAAACAGCTCTTAATGACTGAGAACACACATACACAGTTTGCCACTGCAACAAATTAAATGTAACTGTAACTTGATTCTTCCAAATAAGATTTTTTTCCCCATAAATACATCGGCTTAAGGGGAGAAAAAACAGCCTCACATAACAAAGAGTTTAAGATACTATAAGCCTTGAAATGTATTTGGAATGAAAAAGCTAATTCATGTAAGTAATTGTCAGTCAGCATCAAAAAATTGTAAAGCAAGTATTCTAAAAAGGGCAAACAGTTTATGTCAAAAGTACAATAAAGTCAGAAAATAAAATGTGTATATGTCACAGGGAGTAAGAGGGGTTTCAGGGTAGAATCTCAGATGTGGTTTTTAAAAAATATTTTAAATTATATTTAAATGAATTTCATAAATCACATATTAATTTGTTTTGTTACTGAATGCTTATGCCAATTTCTATCTTCAACAAATATCAAGTCCCTGCAAGCTTTAGTAAATCCATACATTAAAGGAAATGACAAAAGTATTAAAAGATTTTATATGAGCATCAACTGCTTATACTCCCATCAGGGGCTTTAGTTCTGTCCGATTCATTGTTCCCTAAAAGGGTCACTTGATAAAACATAAACATATAGTGGTAGGCTGAGCAGACAGGTTCAGACGTGCAATTTGAATGATGCATTTTTGCTTAACTAGTAACAAGGCATGAACATGTCTATTTATCCGGCATACATAAATGCCAAACAAAAAAAGGCACCAGATCATATAATAGATCAAGTTTTAACCATTCAACTCACAAAACACAGAGATATCTAAAAGCAATTAGGTTCCCGTCCTCCCATTGTAATAAATATCCTTTAGATAAAGCAGCATGCTCAGCCAGCAAACAGAGCAGAAGAGTAGAATGGAAAAGCCGAAGGGTAACTGTCCAAAGTACCCAAGGATCCCCCTTAACGATCAGTTAATCTTAGACCAGGCACAGTAGCTCTAACCTGTAATCCCAGCACTTTGGAAAGCAAAGGTAGGAGGATCACTTGAGTCCAGGAGTTTGAGAACAGCCTGGGCAACATAGTGAGACCCTCTTTCTACAAAAAAATTAAAAATAAAAAATTTCACTGGGTGCATGCCTGTAGTCCCAGTTACTTGGGAGGTTGAGGTGGGAAGATTGCTTGAGTTCAGAGGTAGGGGCTGCAGTGAATTGAAATCACACCACTGGCACTCAAGCCTGGGGGTGGGGGCGGAGGAGGGAGGGTGGGGAAGAGGAAAGAAGGGGAGGAGGGAGGTAGGGGGAGGAAGGGAGGGAGGGGAGGAGGAAGGGAGGGGAGGAGGAAGGGAGGGGGGAGAAAGGGAGGAAGGGGGGAGAGGGGATGAGGGGAGGAAGGGGGAAGAGGGGATGAGGGGAAAAAGGGGGGAGAGGAAAGGAGGGGAGGGAGGGAGGAAGAGGGGAGGGAGGAAGGGGGGGTGGAAGGAAGGGGGAAGGGAGGGAGGGAGGGAGATCCTTTTTCAGAAATAAAAAAGTATCAGTTAATGTTAATGTTCAGAGAAGGACAAAAATGGTAGAATGCAACATTACATTTTTATTATTGCATAAATACAAAAAGGGCTGGGACCCATGAAAGTAAGAAACAAAGAGAATGATTTGTTAGAGTGGCATTGAGAAGTTGAGGGATTGATTGTATGTATATATTTGTATGCACATCACTGTTTATTTGTACCCTTCTAACAAATAAGGTAGGTGAAAATAATAATAATATATATATATATATATATATATATATATATATATATATTTTTTTTTTTTTTTTTTTTTTTTGCTTTGTATAGTGAAGTGCTGGGAGTGGTTAATGCCTATCTCTATACCTGGCCCCACCTTCCCACACCCCAAGTTCCACACTGGGTCAAGTTCTCATTCCTGGTGCAGCAAAGCCCTGCCCGGCAGGTGGCTTCCTTCCAGCAAGAAGGCTGAATCCCCTCAGCAGGCTGCCTCTCCAGGACACCCCTTCCTCATCCCAAAGGGCAAGAAGTCACCTCCCTCACCACACACCTGCCAACCATGCTTAGCCCTGCTCAGTAGTTTAGAATTGAATTCTTCAGGAGATTGTCAATTCTTTCAGTAAAAAGGAAGGGTAGGCAAGGAAGAGGAACAAGAACTGAAGTGGAAACTTTTAAGGGGCTTATACATTGCTGACAGATTCTATTCTTTGGGACAGGGTGAGAAGAGGTCACTTACTTTAATAAATAGTTTTATGCAAGACTGCATGAACGCCTTTCTTCCTTCAAGATAAATTTATTTATAATCTCAACACATATGCCACAACTCCACTGTATAATTCAGAGAGAAGTCTGAAATTGTGGTAGGACAAATGGCTGGTGACTGATCCAGCCATCTGCCTCCTTCCACACCACATTCACAGCAGAGGCTAGAAAAGTCACACACTCGATGACCTTCTTGCAGGTCAGCATGGTCAGGTAACACTGGTTTAGCATGTGAGTCATGAACAGAAGCTTCTGTGAAAGCTTGTATTTCCCTGATAAAACACAGTAGATGTGACCAGTGTTGGTGGCTCACTTCTGTAATCCCAACACTTTGAGAGGGAGAGGTCAGCAGATCAACAGATGTCAGGAGTTTGAGACCAGCCTGGCCAACATGGTGAAATCCCGTCTCTACTAAAAATACAAAAATTAGCCAGGTGTAGTGGTGTGTACCTACCTGTGATCCCAGCTACTCAGGAGGCTGAGGCTGGAGAATTACTTGAATCTGGGAGGCGGAGGTTGCAGTGAGCCAAGATGGCGCGACTGCACTCCAGCCTGAGTGACCAAGCAAGACTGTCTCAAAAAATAAATAAATAAAAATAGGTGTGGCTGGTACTGTCCTTTCTCCTATTCCTGCCTCAATTGGAGTTCAGGAAGCAAAGTCCAACAGGAACACAGAAGTCCCAGCACAGATATCACCGAGAGCTTTAACTAACACCAGGAGTCATCCACTCCCAGATAATACATTACAGTTTAAAAAAAATCCCTACTTAAAGCTACTGAGAGATTTTCTGTTATTTGTGGCAGAAAACATTCCTCACTGATACAGCTGCATCTTCCATCTTACACAAAGCAAGCACTCCAAGCTTCACTTAATTAAATTCTAATGCCATCAGCTGTTCAGGAAAGATCATTGGTAGATTAAGAAACACGGAACCTCCATTAGCAGAAAGTCAAAATAAGAGCTGCTGTTTACCAAGTAACTACAGATTATGGTAATAAACCTCCTACAGTGATTTGGTCATTTAAGAGACACGAACTCTCCAAGGTGAGTGTCATTGTGTATCTGAGGATATGTGTTAATTATGCACCTTGTCTAAGGCTGCAGTGACAGTAACGCAGGTCTGTGACTCCAACCACCTCAGGATTCCACTGTTTCAGAGGAATGGACCCTTGTAAGTCTGATATTCTAATTTAGTGAATGCCTGTTGTAGAGTAATGGCATGTAGTTCATAAAACCAAAAGATGAGACAAGGCGTGGCTCGAGACTGTAATCCCAGTATTTTGGGAGGCTGAGGTGGGTGAATCACGAGGTCAAAAGATCAAGACCATCCTGGCTAACGTGGTGAAGCTCCATTTCTACTAAATTACATAAATTAGCCAGGCGTGGTGGTGCACACCTGTAGTCCCAGCTACTCAGGAGGCTGAGACAGGAGAATAGCTTGAACCCAGGAGGTGGAGGTTGCAGTGAGCCGAGATCATGCCACTGCATGCCAGGCTGGCAACAGAGCAAGACTCCATCTCAAAAAACAAAAACAAACAAACAAAAGGATAACATAAGATGATATCAAAAGACACATTGTCTGTGTATCACCTCTTTATTTACAATAAATATGACAATTACCTTAAAGACCATTTGGTTAACCTATCAGCTGGATGATGATTCCAGATCAGGATGGATGTGTTAGGAACCCATCCCAGAGAAGGTCTTGAGAAAATAAGTACTTTTGAGAGAACAAGTATTCTAACAACTGTATTTAACTGACCAGACATCCTCACCAAAGTTAGAGGTAAGCAAGGCAAAGAATAATTGAGAATAAATTAAGAATTTTTCTGTGTTTCATTGAGAAACAAATGTTTATTTTAAAGCAAGAATATTTAACAATTAAAAACCAAATTAATATATAAGGAGGCAGTGAACATCAGCAAGTAAAATAACTGGGTCAAAGGCACTGCCATTCTATCAGGGTTAACCACAGTAAACTGCCTATATTTGATCATCTGATGTGTTGTATATGTAATGCAATCGGGCACACTGGGGACCACAGTCATCCAGAATTGGGATTCATAAAATCCTTATTGTTTAAGTGAAGGTGAGTATCAAAAGGTTTTGAGACTTTCTAAATTATTCATATACTTTTTTCTTGAGATGATATTACTTTGAAATACATTTCACTTTCTTTCCCCTCTTTGGTCTCCAAAGTATGGTTGTCTTTTCACTACACTGGTATTTGTTTCAAATTGTGAACAGGGAACATACCCAAAAGCAAAGACTCAATCTGCTCAAACTAAAGAACTTTACATGAGAATCAAATAACCTGACAAGGTCTGCATTAACTCTGTGACCTTGGGTGAGTAACTTAACTCTGAGGTTCCATTTTTCTCATTCACAAAAATGGATGATTAAAATCTGTTGGTGTTTTGTGATATTAAAATATATGTAAAAATAAAGTGATTAAATGTCACATACATATAATGTGCCACTATGACCACAACCTCCAGCAAGATCCCTGTGTGGACAAAGTACAGTATAAAAAGGAAGGAATTACAGTTATCATCCCTATTATTACCATTCTCCAACATATTATCCTAACATTTATGTTTTGATTTTCTGATTGCTATTATTGTTTTCATCTTAGAGCCTTAGTGATAAGGACCATTGCCTATAACACTTCCTTATCATTTGCCCCCTGTAGCTACATTAGTAAAATTCTGTTAGGTCAAAAATTCTGAACACATGCTGTGAAGCATTTATTCAATAAACATGCAGGGAAATGGTTACACCGTACACCAGGCACATGGCTATCTTGCAAAGCAGGCTAATACACAATGGGTTTCCTGTTGGCCAGATACCAACACTACTGGCTTTAACAGGCAAGCAGTTAGTAAACATAGGAGATTTCATAATATTCAAAAGTCCTTCTCACTGCAATATGTAAATAGAGTAAGGCTCTTTAGAATTAGCTCTTTAACTTCCATTCATTTTCTGTTAGTGTATTGGTCCATGGCAATGTGCAAGTCAGAGCAGAAAGCCATAGCACGGAAACCAAGTTATATAATCTAGAAGAGAATACAATAGAGCCAGGCTCTCTGCTTTTGTTTATGTAAATGTGACTTGTCTCCATATGGTTACTTAATTAGATAGGGGATGCATTTCACCCATTTAACACAGAACAGCAGCCAGAATTTTACATACCAAATATTTAATGCAATTTATGAAACACAGATTCTTTCCCTAGGCCCCAATAAAAGTTTTTGTTTCTTTTTAACTTGAAAACTCTTATGCTTTCTTCCTAACCTGTAATAAAAATGGAAATGTTTGATATCAATGCATTTGCATAGTTCACCTCACCTGTGCCAATCTTATATATTACCATACTTAGACATTATTTCATCGAGCGGATCATAAATTGTGCAGAGTGACAGATGGAAAACAGCACTTAAGACACAAAGAAATCAAACAGCCATTCTTAGTTCTTTAAACAAGGAACTTCAAATTTCAGTAGACCCTACAAAAGCATAGTAATTATTCTCCAATTTACTACAGTTTAATATATTTAATGTTTATTATTTTATATTTTTTGTACTTTTAATTTTTTCTTTATTCAGTCTCCGTGGAGACTGTCAAAAATTGCCAGTTCCGACTATAATCCAAGTCGGCATGGTGAGGTATCAGGAAAAGTTTTCTATTAGCAATAATCGCGCCTCGGATGAAACTCACTGGCTATGATACTGCCACTGCGCAAAGGCTTTTTTTTAAACAGACATGTGTGCACACCTACTACGATTAGACAATGTTCTAGGTACTAGGGATTCAAAGATGACTAAGGCATAGTTACTTTCTGCCAGGAGCTCACAGACTAAAAATAGAGATAAATAATAACAAACCTATGACTAGCATGCTTACAGTAAATTGGAAATATATGCCAAGTGCCATGAAGTACAGAGGAGAGAGACTATCTGTCCCTGGGAGAGTTTATGGCAGGCATCACAGGGAAGATTACCCCTCAACACAGTCTGGATATATGTCATGACCAACTGGGCAAGCTGGAGAAGGTGTTCCAACAGCGGGCATGCCACATGCAGAGATAAAAAGGTAAGAGAGAAACTGTAGGAAGTGTGGGATGGCTGAAACATTACATGCTATGAGTGCATGAAAAGGCATTTGAAAAGTTAGGTAGAGCTAAATATCATCTTCATTAGAATGCACATTTTAAAGAGTTTGAGATCTTATTAAACCATTGGTCTTATGTGGGTCTGTTAAATTAAGTTTAGACTAAAGCTGCCTCCTCACATATTTTAAATTATGCCTAAAGCCAACGGTTCACATCGTGTTCAAATAAGATAAACACTGAGCTGTAACTGATCTGGCTGTTTCTAAACTTCACTTCCGTTTTCTAAACGTCACTTTCCTTTTCTGTCCATAAATCTTCTTTGACCATGTGGCAGCCTGGAGTCTCTCTAAACCTATTTTGGTTCAAGGACTGCCTGATTCACAAACAGTTCTTTGCTCAATTAAACTCACTTAAATTTAATTTGCTTAAAGTTTTTCTTTAAGGAATTCTAACATCTCTCTTTTCTGCATGCCTTGAACTAGGAACTTTTAGAGATTCAGACACAGAGCAACCATCAGATTACAGAAAGAAAGCTGTCTTGGCTTACAGCATGAGCCCTAAGACCAGTTTAGGTGTGCATACTTTGAATGCAGGAGAATCCATGCTGGTCCTAATACACAGGACAGTTACTCTTTCAGCCACACTAGCACAGTTGACTAATTTCCCCAAGAGGGCAACAAGGAAAAGTTTTGTTTTTCTGATTGTTAATTTAATTTGAAACCATTATTTTAGCTTTCACTTAAGTAATCTCCAAGACTGGCCTCTCAAATTAGGTCTAAGCCAGAGTCTAGTTACAATGACAGGTAGAGTTTCATCCCTTAATGGAAACATACAGTGATTTAACCTGAGTCACCTGTTCCCATTAAGAGTTTATCCAAAGAGATTTCGAAGTAAGATGTCAAATTTAATCCAGGTGTTTTCCTCTGGGTTGTTCAATGTTGGTAATTATATTAAGTTTTTATGCTTTTTCTCTTTTTAGGTTTCTAGAATCAACACATAACCAAGAAACACACACACACACACACACACACACACACACCTGTTTTAGTGAAATAATATAAAAGGCTTCATAAACTATGGCAATTCTAGGTTTCACTTCATGGTATGTAACTTTAGTATATTAAAATCCACGTATCAGGGAAAAACAAAATATAAATGTCCTCAGGAAAAAAAGAAAAAGAGTAGGATAAGATTTATAACAATTGTTCATTTTAAGATGTAAAAAAGAATATTTTGCTGAGAATATGGAGATGGAGTTTATAAATTATTTAATTTCTTCCCCAACAATGGATACATTTGTATATGAATATGTACCACTAACTAATTTTCAAATTCATCTGAAAACCTAGAGGAATTTAGGAAAGGTTTTGCTTTCAAATTATTATCGATTTCATTTGTAACTGACAGTTTTCAAGAGTAAGGCCATTCATAGTTATGGAAAAATGGTTGTTTTAATGCAACATTGAATGACAGAAAACCAAACAATCAAATACCATTCTCATATTTTTCATTCTTGGAAAATTACCTTTCAGGAAGAGCTTTATGTTTTATGTTCTGCACACTAACAGCGAGGATTTTCAATCTTTTTATGACAAAAAGAATAAAAGAGGGAAAACAAAAGTATAAGGAACAAACATTAAATTCTCTTTGAAAGAAATACACTCCTATTAGATGTCAGGTCACATATAATCTCAGACTGTGGCTATTTAGCTGCATATCTCAAAATGTAAACATAGGCTGATTTGACTGAAACGTGGTTTGATGGAATTTTGTGTGTGTGATGTGTACACAGGCAAAATAGGGTGGAAGATCACTTTAGAGAAAATCCAAACTGACTCTCCTCTCTCAGCAGTCATCCAGGCTCCTTCTCAGAGGCTCAACAACTTGCCAACAAGTTCTAAGTCACAGGCTCAGGATAAAAACCTCTTTGCAATGACATTCAGAACAGCAATGTTTCATTATGCTGAAATGTTTGATGGAACACAAAATATTACATTGACAGCTGAACTTTGCGTTATTACCTGTTGAGAAATTTTGCCTTCCAAAATCTTGGAAAGTATCTTTTATGGTGATCTTGTAACTTGTAAACATACTATAGTTCAACATAGTGAAACTGAAAATATAGTTTTTAACATTGTATATTTTATAGAGAAAATTACAGTTTCTACGACATTATAGTAAAATACATATACATGTTAAAAATATTTCTACCCATTGTCACCAAATTCCCAAAGACCGATACTATTAATAATTTGATATAATTTAATACAGTATCTGTTTCAGATGTATACTTAATATTTAGGTTGTGTATACATAGAATACACAAATATATTTGTAATATGTGATCTCATTTTTTCATATTATCTCCTTGTAAAACTAATTCAAATGATGGCAGATGTGTCAGTGTTGATCTACTTCTTTGCTATTTAACATTTAGTTATATCCAAACTTTAGCATTATATTGATACTATAATTCTCCACTTATTGACATCCTATCCAAATTTATGTCTTAAGTAACATTCTTTCTCTGAAGCATCACTGGGTTCCCTCAAGCTAGAACCTACATATCACTTACTTCTCTCCCATTCAGCCCCTATATCCAATTCATCACTAAACCCTATTGATTCCTCCCCCTCTAAATATCCTTCAAATTCAGCAATTGCTCTTCATCTTCATTCTTCCTATGCTTGTCTGAGTCACCACCATTATTCCCTTACATGACTAGAATGGATCCTTTTTCTCTTCTGCTTTTGTTCCTGCCCGCCCTCCTTTCATCCTTCCTACACACTGCAAAGCAGAATGCTCTTTCCAAAATGCAAATTCAAACATGTCATTCTGTCTTGAAGTTCTTAATCCTTTGGATAAAATTATTCAGCCTTGTCAATAAAATTTCTTATATATATATTTTTTTCTAGCATGATTGACCAGGCCTTTCATGATGTGATCCCTGAATTTATCCTTAGCTTCAATGCCTAATCACTTCACCACCTGGAAGCTACAGGGACTGCCACTCAAATATTTTAGGGATCTAAGTGCTCTTCACCTGGAGCTCACACATCTGTTTTTCCTTCTGCCCTATGATACAAACATTCCCCCCTCTTTTGCTTTAGCCAGTTCTTCTCCTTTAGGTTCAGCTTAGTTGACACATCTTATTTAAGGCTACCAGAGTCCCCCAAATCCTAGATTGGTTACATTCCTCTTTTTTGCCCTTCCAGAATACTTTGCACTACTAAACAACTATTCATGTATACCAATGCCCAACTACTCATGTATGTAACTATTCATGAATATCATGTATATCTAGACTATAGGTTCCATGAGAGAAAAGGATATGAGACCCTTTACTATTTATTTCCCCAATGGCTAAATAACTCTGCGACTCTACATGTGTTTGTCGAATACATTTAAAAAAAAAAAATGAAGCTATGAAAAAACATTGTGACCATCATCTATGCAATAATATGTACTGAGTGAAAATGATGCATTATCAGGTGTCTTTTTGAAATTTTATTTATTTTACTTTTTATTTATTTAAGACAAGATCTTTTCCAGGCTTGATTGCAGTAGTGCCATTGTAGCTCACCGTAGCCTGGAATTCTTGGGTCATGTGGTCTTCACACCCCAGCCTCCTTAGTAGCTGGTACTATGGATGTGTTACACCATGACCAGCGAATTATTTTCACTTTTTATAGAAACATGGTCTTTCTGTTTCCCAAAATGGTCTTGAACTCCTGGTGTCAAGTGATCCTCTCACCTCAGCCTCCCAAAATGTTAGAATTATAGGTATGAGCCACCATATCCAGCCCTAAATTTATTTTCAAAAGGACAATGCAAATTGATGCAGGCACCAGCATTACAGAAGTTGACCATGTTTTCTCACCTCACCAGATTTGAATATATTTTTGACATATTTGTTAATGGATAAAAGTATTAATTGCTTAATATACATTTTCTGATTACTAGCAAAATTAAATATTAAGTCATATTATCAACTATTTTTGTTTACCTTCTGAATTGTTTGTTCATATTTTGATTTAACATTCATGTTTTACACAGTTTTAAGAAGAATGTAGCTGTATAATATCTAAAAAGAAGTAGAACATAATTTGAATGTATATATTCCATTGTCTTAGCATCAAGGTCTTAAATGATACCAATAACACCTTGCTTTTTGTGTTATTTCTTCCAATTCATTAATTCATTTTTGACCATATTTTTTAAAAGAATTTTGGGTTACAGCAATCAAGAGATGAGTTTCACTATTCCAAATGCAACAGAAGTTTGATCAGAATGGGTACCTCTAGACAAAAGGTCTCGTGCAGGGAATAACATACATCTTTAAAAAATAAAAATAGAAATTAATGCTTTATATGGATAATTCATAAAAGAAATGGGATTTGTTTTCTGTTTCTTAATGAGATGACCTTTTCACAACGAAGTCCTTCTTCTGGAAATCGCCTAAGACACTGATGCAAAGATGAAATCTTTTAATTCCTTTGTTATTTTTCCTAATACACAGATTTAGTTGAGCCTGCTGTGATGTCGTATTTAGTTAAGATTGACAATAAGCCACATGGTACTAGTGTCCAGCAACAGAAGCCATGCCCTGATTTGACAGTTATCTGAGATGTGAAA